ACTGTAATTGGAATTCATATATTCCAAACTCCAGAACTGTATGATTTCTTACATGTGCAGGACAGTCAGGAAGCATTGCCTAGAAACAGCTTTTTACACTGTTTTTTGGAGGATGGAGATAGGGGAAGAGGGTGTCACAGACACTATGCAAAAAAATACGTGCTTTAATGAAATAGGAGTATTTACCAAATAAGCATCAAATAAACATCAAGATAAATAGTCCAAACATTAAAATGTGACAAAGAATACCTGGTACGCTTCAGCAGCAGATGACAACACTTGTTCAACAGCACCATCAACAAAGACTCCCTTCTTGATGTGTTCTCTGAGGAAGAGTCCAGCTGAAGCAGAATCTAGCAAGTCAAAAATCTGTTCATTGTAGATTTCAATAAATGAGCATTTGCAGAGAAAACTCTTTCCACTGCCAGCCTGAAAAAAACAGTAATTTACACTATAAACAGATTGGTTTTATTGTCTGGCATTGTACGGCAGTGAGTCTCTTTTTACACGTATCTGAAGCTACTAGTTTGCATGTATATTCTGCATACTATACATTTCTGATGCCCAGATGACAACCAACATCCAGAAACCTAGATGCATTTTTAAACTGAAAATACAAGCACACTTGTGTCTGAAGAAAGCGTACTGTACTTTGGTAGAGTACTAGACACAAGTGCTCCTCATTAATAAATTTGATGCAAGATGGCAGTAATCCTGGAAACTCAACTGCTACATACCCAGCTTATCAAACAGCCTTAGCTAATCTTCAATGCGAGGCTTTACTTTCAGCACAATAATAAGTATAAAATAAATGTACCTTTTCTTTTTCACGTTCAATTAGAAAAAACAAGTATTCAAAGCTCCGTGGAATTACACCTCTCAGACTATGAGTGAAATTATCAGAATCAGATGGTCCTAAAGAGATTGAATTAAAAAAAAAATTAATTAGTAGTACTCAAGAGTAATGGTTGACCTTTTCAAGCTGTCATTACAGAAGATTCCAGCAACCAGATTTTAGTCAGTTTATGGCAAAACCACAGAAGAAATGCAAAAAAATCAACTTTGAAGATCTAAGATAATATTCCATAATCAGATTTATATGTAGTCTAAATGATGCTTGTGAAAGCATATTGTACCTGTCCATAGGTTACTTAAGACGACATGTGCAGATATGCAGGTAAGCTGATACTGCTACTGTAACCCCGATTTGAAGAACCAGAAAGATGGGGTGGATTCATCCCCTTGTTTAGTTAATTTCTACATAGTTCTCAAAAACATGTTGGCCAAACTGGTTTTGGTTATTTCAATGACTTTCTAATGTCAAGCATAATATTAATGCATTTAAATCACCACTGTATGAAGAAAAAGATTACAAGGTGATCCCTTCATATACAGAGAGGCCTTAAATTTCTAGTCGGGTAGGAAGCAGTTATTTTGAAAACCTCAACATTTTAATACGGAAGACCCTTGCATACTAGAATATTTTTCTTGCACAGTAGAATATTTTTCTACACATGGAAGGGATATCAGCCAAAAAAGGAAAACAGTTGAATACTCATTTTTGAGAAAATTTACTGAAAGTATTTGATTTCATTGAAAAGCTTCTCTCCTGTTAAAAACAGAAAAAATTTATGTCTTCAAAAAGGCAGAGGAGAGTACCTATACTTCACTCTTTTGATATAAAGCAAGAACTGCACTGAGCACTACACCATTTCTTAAACCTTAAAGCTATCTGCAGGAAGACAAAAATCTAAATCATCCCTGGTGTTTGAGCAAGACAACATTTCAACTCAAGACAAAAAAGAAACATTAAGAAACTACTGAAAGGTTAAGCTCTCTCATGCACTTACCCATCATAGTAAAGGTTTTTCCTGACCCAGTCTGGCCACTAAGAAAAAAAAAAAAAAAAAAGGCAGATAAAGCTTTGTTCTGGCTCTGAATATTTCACTAATCTGCAGCTTTTAAGGAGAACTCACATCTTAAAATGAAAAAAAAAAATCTTCTAAACTGAAGATAAAAAGGGACAGAGGCAAGCTGAGAAATCAGTCAGCTAAAAAGGTAAAATAATAGAACAGTAAACTTGACCATGAAATTCTGCTAATCACCTTTTCACTTCCCCACTACCCACCATTTTCTTCCTTATTTCTGTTGGAAAGGAAAATAGTGGAACTTGGTATTAAAATGAAAGCTTTCAAATATATACATTAAACTAATTTTTGGGTTAATCTTTTGGGTTTTGTGTCACACTGCAGTGCACATAAAGGTATTTTTCTTGCTTGGGTTTAAGTTGAATATATCCTGTTTTTTTACCCATAGTTATAAATCATGCTAGAGAAACTTCAGAGCAATTTCACTTTGTTTTTCCACGTTTGTATATTGTAACAAAGCGGACTTCTTCACAGTTTTGCAAATGCTGTGCTGGGCTAAAAAAAAAACAGTAAGGTTTTGATTACATCAGTCCTTCAAGTTAGCATTTTTGATCAAAGTGCCTACTCTGTTTTCAAAATGGAAAAACATTGAGAGTTAATATGACGATATTCATGCTACTAGTCATGGATATCTTTTTACCTCAAAAACATTTTGAAAGCTAAAATTATCATTCATAAGTTTTCCCACAGGCAGCCAAGACTCACTAAAGAGCTGAGCTAGCCAAACATCAAGTTAAAGCAATTTTCATTCCATTTTACTATGGACGTACTGAAAATAACTAGCTTTCATTTTAACAGCACAATAAAACTTGTAGTTTTTAGACAAATAGTAAAATTGAAATAAGTTTACAATCCACATTATTGGTCTTAAGTATTAGAAGCATAACACCTACAAATAGGTTCCTCTGGAAGAGGAGTAAGTAGTACTCTTCAATACTGCAAGTACACTCCTTATCTTGTGCTGCACTAAGGAGGCACTTCCAAAGTTTAATGTAACATTAAACAGGCTCTGACCCTTAAAACCACAACTACTTATTAACGCAATCTCCTCAAATGTTGCAATTGCCATGAAATACCATTAAATGACTTACTATGCAAAGATGGTTCCATTGTAGCCATTCATACAAGATTCAACAATATTCTTGGCCACGCTTGAGAACACCGACTCCTGGGGAGAAGGGAAAGAGAAGGCACTTGGCACCACTCATTTAGGTATCTCCTCTATCAGTGTTTTCTATGCCATAACTTTATAATGTATAAAATATACACATTCCTTAAGGTTAGACATGTATCATGACCCCTGGAGCTCTGATAGTAAAACAATACGTCCTAAGTCTTTGTGACGTAAACCACTACCTCTGGAAAAAAATTTATTCATTGATAATCGGAAAGAAAAATAATAAAACTCAGTATCATAGTAATGACTTTCAAATATATTAATTTTGGTCCAGTGTTCTTGGAGTACTAAATAAAAAAGTACTAAATAAACTACATTATGTGGTTTATACTATAAGCAGGTGAAAATTGAGCCTATGACACTTACCAAATCTAGTTAACTTTCAACCTTTGCCACTGCACAATGCTATATTCAACAAATCTGCACAACTATTAGCCTCATCTATTTTCACGTTATTTCTCTTAGACCTGCAAAAGTCTAGCTACAAATAAGAGCCTCCAGAGGGTGGGGGTTTTGGTTTTTTAAACAGCAGTTAAAAGGAATTGAAGTCTTAGAGCAATCAAAATTATGTTCAGAATTTCAAATGTAATATTGTAAAAATTAAATTGAAGGATTTTCCTTCCAGTATTACCTGTCCCAGATGAACAATGCATCTGTTTAAAAGGCAAATGAACGAGAATATAACAAATAGTACATAAACTCATAAGTTCCTAATATACAAATCACATCTTTAATATCAGCTACTGACTGCCAGCTTTTTTTATGTTTGTCTCAACAGGTGAGTTTATTTTCTGTCTAAGGTGTTACTGTAAAGTTCACAAATAGAAATTTCAGTTTTAACGCAAACTTTAATTAAAGACATTAACAGTTAAAGAAAATTAAAACTATTAAAAAGCAGAATTTAGTGCAAAATTTTGTACTATAACTACACAGTACCAATATGACCACCGTGAAAAATAAGACCTATTACATCTTTAGAAAAGTTTAGTGTAGCTGTTGCCAAAATTTGGGCAAGAAATGCAATATGGTTACAAGATTCTGGAAATTATTACCTGTGTTGTTTCCATGTTTGCAACATAGTCAAAAGTGAAGATCTTTGGCTCAGGCTTCGAATGCAGACGGATGGTATTTGATGAAAGAACAGATAAACACAAGCCTTGATCTCCGTCAGCTAATGTAGTTCCCTCTGAAGGGGGACGTACCCTTACATAAACTTTGATAGCATCACCTTCAACACTAAATGAATATTTATGCATTAGATTACTTCAAAATAGATCTATCAGCTGTTTGATAAAATTAAATCACACAAAAAAATCAAATTAATCATGTGAAGTCATACAAATGTCTCTTCTGAAAATATACTGCTTCTAACTGTACACGTCAATTCACTACAAGCCACAGATTTATTAAAGGTAACAATGTGGCAGATTTAAAAACAAAGCACATGAAGTTACTGAAATTTATTGCTGTTGCATGTAACTTTAGCTCTAAAAGCACACATTTCACAGTAAACTTGAGATACATAAAACCAGTGTTATAATAAAGGTTTCAGTAGTTTCTAGGATTATGGGCTTCAAGCATCCTTCTTACTCCTGGAAGCTGTAAAACACTACAAATAGAACAGATGAGGCTACGTTCCAGCAAGAAATTTACTAGCATTTTTCTTTGCTGCTCACAAGAGGGGAAAGAACAACCAATTCTTGATCCATCCGTCCAGTAAAGTGTATGAGCGCCTACATCTCAAAGCTCCCTAAACTACTTAATCACATTTATCGGTGGATGCACCAGTAAATTTATCCTGAATAAGTAACTGCATGACTATTATATTAAAGCTTTGAGGAGTTCTGGCATAAATACAAATATACTGACATAATATCAAAGAACCAAATTCTTTCGCGAAGCTGTAGCAAACTTGGATTTACTAAGTTCTTCCCCAAAAGGCAGTTCTAGCATGAGGGTGTTGTAAGTGTTACTGATTTTTACTTTTGGTAGACAAGAGAAAGGAACAGAATAGTTTTAAAACTTGGGGAGGGACTTCATGACTGAAATGTGGGGCTGGGGCACAGCAGAGAGGAAAGAGCTAAAAAAGAACAAGAAGCATCTGAGAAAAATCCAGTACAACATCTTCCCTAAGACACACCACACTTGCCGAATATGTTTTCATTACATAATATTATTCTGAGTTGTAGCAGAAGCTGTTTATATTTAGAGGAGGACCTTTTGGGTTTTGTTTTAGCTTAGGACTTCCTCACAGAATTGTGGAGTATCTCTTCAGAAAAATTTTAGAGTCCAGCTACAGATGTTGCGGACAAATGAGAATTTACTGCATGGCAGCATTCCAAGAAGAATCTGACACTCAGAAAAACACTTTCATTAAGAGAACTTTTTGTTTTAAACCTATAAGGAAGTCAGGAGAGAAGGGCAACAATCTTGTGCAGGAAATTGACGAAAGAAAAAAATTAAATTATTTCACAAAGTTGTACCAGGTTTTGTTTGCACGTTTCGTGCAATGTGATTATTCGTATGGGAACTGGCCAATACTACTTTACCTAGGTGAGTTCAACAAAGGTAATGCAGAGTCACGCAAGTCTCCTATAAAAGTGAAACATACACACAAAAATTAAACAAGATAAATTTATTGCTCAACCCCCCCCATTTAAACAGCAAATACTGTAAGGAGTACTGACAGAGATAAATAAAGAGGCTTATAAATATCTATTTCAGGCATGAATGAAAACTGCACAAAAATATTTAGCAACTATCTTCCTTGGGCAGAAAGTCTGCAGTTTCATGCAAAGGTAGAGAAAGCTTCAGTTTGCAATGTGAGCACACACACACTTGTAAATGTACATGCAATGCATGGTCTCTTAAATTAATGTATATAGCGTTTTGCAAGTGTTTTGGAGAATTAGGAATATAAGTTTTAATAGTATTATATATTCCCATTTTATTTTAAAGATTGCTAACTCACTGCAGATAAAACAATACAACATGAAATAGTTTTACTGACATGACTGCAAAAACTCAATTTCCTAAACCTGCATGACTGAGTAGTTATATTGCTTTCACTTTTATAAAGTAATATTGAGCACTCTGTATGCATAAAGCTCTCCTGTACGTGTGAGCATCATTTTTCACAGCTTCACATTTCAAGGACATGGCTTGAGTTACCCCATAGGTAGATATGCTGACTTATTTTTTACTTAAAGGTCAACCTGACATTATATTATTTCACATAGGTTAGTCAACATATTAACTACATAACACAGTCAAATTTTAAAAATAAGTAAAATGACAATTTAAGATGATTTACCAAAATATTCCAATAATAAAGACCCTATAAAGTCTCTAAAATTGCACAGGTTTTATTGTAGTAGAATTAATAAAGATGTGCAAAGCTACTAAGCTCATTAACATTCATACTACATGAATATCCTGCTGCTGCTATGCGAGCCTACCTGCTCTGATTCACACAACCACATTTGAGAAATGTGCTAGCTTCTAATTCAGTTATTTATTCCTCAAATGAACAAGGTACCAGAACGAGCTGGGACTAGAAAAGCAGTGCATTTAAAAACTTAAATCAGACTGATAGGCACTTGCACAACATGTACGTTGGGAAACGACCGACTCTCAGTTAACCGTTCTCAGCTCCCGTTTTAAAGCGCTGCTTTCACTTGAACGTTTGTAAGAGGCTTCAGTTACAAACATCACAGCTAATTAAAACTCGATAAGGTTACAGAAGAGGAACTGATCAACGCGGGACAGCTGAGAGCAGCAGGGTCTGCAAAGCCTTCCCGTTTGGGAGGGCCGCTTACACGCACCACCCGCGAGGCGGCCCGCGGGATATCGGTGTCAGCGGCGCTTCTGGAAGCGCTGAGGGCCGCCCCTCTCCGTGCCGCTGCTCCAACCCCGCCGCCCTTCCCCGACACCACCGGGGGCAGCGCGGCTGCCCTGCGGGGACTCCGCAGCCCCAGCCCCGGGGCCCTCGGCCCCTCCGTTGACGCACCGAGCCCAGCCACCGCGGCCATACCTCTACCCGGCCCTGTTAGCTCTTACGCCCGGGTGATGCCCCGCCGGAGGTGGCTGGCCCCGCAGGGCAGACACCCCTTGCCCGGCCAACAGCACGCCCTGCAGCGCGGCCTCCCTCACCGAGCCGCCCCGGTCCCCATCCGCTCCCCACACAGGGGGAAACACCCCTCAGCCCCTTGAGGCCCCACGGCCACCCCAGCCCCCTCACCTCGTACACCGGGAGCCATGATCTTCGGCGGCCCTACCAACCCCAGCACCTCCCTACCGACCGCTCCAAAATGGCGGAACGTTTGAATTTGGCGCTAAGAGCAACGTGGCCCCGCCCCCTCCTCGAAGCCAACGTGGGCGCGGCCATTTGGCCCTACGTCCTCCTTCCCCGCTC